AATTAGAAAACATAGTTTAAACTATCCTGGATTAGCTGGTGATTGGTGATCATCGGTTTTATTTTTACTGTTTGATGCTACTTACATGCCGGTACTAGAATTATTAATTAGTAAATTAGAAAACATAGTTTAAACTATCCTGGATTAGCTGGTGATTGGTGATCATCGGTTTTATTTTTACTGTTTGATGCTACTTACATGCCGTACTAGAATTATTAATTAGTAAATTAGAAAACATAGTTTAAACTATCCTGGATTAGCTGGTGATTGGTGATCATCGGTTTTATTTTTACTGTTTGATATTTAGAGGGAAAACAAATAAAATAGGAAGTAGGTATTGTGTAATTGTTTATTAAAAAAAATATTATTTTTTATATTATTTAAAAATTATTTACATTTATTCAATAGGTATATTTTGTTAATTTATTGAATTATTTATTAAAAAGATAGTTATTTCTTTTTACCTATTCTAAAAACGGCCTTTAAAGTCGTACATTCAAAAATACATATAATGACGTCCACATGGAATAACTAGACTTAATTTTTCTTTTTCAATGAATGATGAAGATTATTTCTATTATTAAAAAACCGAATGGTACAAAATCAGTATAACTAACATTTATATTATATACCTGGACAATAAATAAAAGGTAAGTAAAAAAATATAAGAAATGAAGATTATAGAATTCATCGTACATAAATTTTGTTTAAAAGAGTAACAATGATATCATGTGAAAAAAAAGGTTGACAATTCAAATGTGGTTGTATCCACATACTTACAAACTAGTCACACTGGAAGTTACCTGCCAGATAATGCCTAAATAAAAATAATAAAGCTGCAGCTGCCGAGAAGACCTCAGCCCCTATAGAAATCAATTTATCATTAACAAAAACCTTAAAACTCTTCATTTTTTACGTTTAAAAACAGCATCATTTGGTTCTGGCGACTTTCTGGAATTTCCGTAATAATTTAGAGGAATAGGTATTTCCTAACCGTTTATGATTATTTATTAGTAAACTTAAAGAAAAATTATTTAACTGTAGCTTACTTTTACTACAAAAAAATGAATTCTACGACACTTTAGACGAAGGATATAAGCGATGTTCACGTTATGACGTGAAATAGCTAAAGCTAATAAAATAGCTTCTACTTCTTTACGTTCCATCTCCGCGACGGAAGTTGGCAATCATCATGGCTATTCTGATCTTAGATGCTGCTGCTCTGAATAGTTCAATTGATGTGCATTCGTACCATTACCTCAAGTTACGCAACCATGAGATTCTTCTTCTTCCTACACTTCTCTCGCCCTGGATTTTTCCTTTTATAATCAATTGAAGTGGGTTGTATCTCTCATTACGCATAACATGCCCCAGGTATTGCAGCTTTCGTGTCTTGATGGTTTCCAATACTTCCATTGTTTTGTTGATTCTTCTCATGACTTCGTTGTTTGTCACATGCTCGGTCCATGATATCTTCATGATTCGTCTATATACCCACATTTCAAATGCTTCCAACTTTTTAGCAGTCGACGCGTTAAGTGTCCATGCTCCCATTCCTTAAAGCAGAGTCTAGAAAATATAACACCTTGCTAGTCTAACTATCAAGTCTAATTTTAGTTCTCTTGCACAAAGTACCTTTCTCATTTTATTGAAGTTTGTACGTGTTTTCTCTATTCGAACTTTGATTTCCGTGGAGTAATCATTTGTGTTTTATTATTCGCCATGATAAAAATGGGGGGGGGTAATGGCAGTTAAAACACCACGCTTGCCAGGCGCCAATAAATTGACGACAAAATTCGATGGATACCAGTCGAAAGAACAAGCTGGTTTTAGAAAGGGATTCAGCACAAGTGACCATTTACTAAGTATGAAAATACTTATAGAACGAGCAAATGAATACCAAATTCCTCTATATGTGGCGTCCATAGATTTCGAAAAGGCTTTCGACAGTGTCGAACATTAGGCAGTGAAAAGTTCTATGATAAACAGCCGAATTGACCACAGATATACGGAACTATTAACCAATATATATAAGGAAGCCAAAACAAAAATTAAAGTATATGAAGGAACAAAATCATTACAAATAAGTAGAAGCGTGAGACAGGGTGATACAATATCACCGAAACTTTTCAATCAGGCTCTTGAAGATACTTTTAAAAGATTAGAATGGGAAAAAAAAAGGTATAAAAATTTGTGGACAACGCTTGAACCATCTAAGGTACGCTGATGACATCGTATTGATAACCGATAAAAAAGATGAATTATTTGAAATGATGAAAGAACTGGACGTAGAAGCTGGAAAGATAGGCCTTAATATGAAGTACAGCAAGACCAAAACTATAACAAATACAGATGAAGACATCACAATGAGAATCGGATAAGATGAAATAGAACAAGTTAAGGATTATATATATCTTGGTCAAACTATAAAACTTAACAAAGAGAACCAAACTGCAGAGATTAAGAGACGAGTTAGACTGGCATGGGCGGCATTTGGCAAACTAAGCTACATTCTTAAAAACAAAAGATATCCACAGCATCTTAAGACCAAAGTATATAATCAATGCATACTCCCTGTTCTTACGTATGGCTCCCAAACGGTGGACATTTACAAAAGCAAACATGGAAAAAATTATAAAAACCCAAAGAGCAATGGAAAGACAAATGTTGCACATAAGACTAATGGATAAGAAGAGAAACGAGTGGATAAGAGAGAAAACAAAAGTGAGGGATGTTAGACAAGAAGTTGCAAAATTGAAATGGAGATTTGCCGGACACAATATAAGACAAAAAGAAGACCGATGGAACAAAATTCTTATAAGTTGGAGACCGTGGAATATAAACGAAGCAGAGGAAGGCCCCAAATGAGATGGGCAGATAATATCAAGAAGCACGTGGGCTCTAGATGGATGACTGTTGCGACAGACAGAGAAGAATAGAAAAGGATTGGGGAGGCCTATGTCCAAAGATGGACCGAAGAAGGCTTATTAGATAGATAGAATCATTTGTGTGATTAATTATTGTAGCAAGATAGTGGTAGTTTTCAACTTGTTGTAAAGCAGTACCGTTAATTGTCAGGCTTTCACCATTATTTTGGGTTTTCAATATCCTCATAAATTTGGTTTTCTTGGTGTTTATTGATAATTCATATTCTTCTCCATACTCAACTATCTTGTTCATTAGCTTTTGGAGGTCTTGGAGGTTGTCTGCTATTATTATCTATCATATATCTAATGTTGTTAATTGGTGTTCCATTGACCGTGATTCCTGTTGTTTCTCCCTCAAGAGCTCTTTTCATAATTTCTTCAGAGTATGCATTGAATAGTAGTGGTGACAATACACACCCCTGTCGCACTCCTCTTTTTTTAACTTCGAACTCTTCTGAGGTGTGTTCATTAATGCGTACGTGTGCCTGCTGTTTATAATATAGATGTGTTATAATTCGAAGGTCATTGTGTTGTAGTTGTTTTGCTTTGAGGATGTCCATTAGCTCTTTGTGGCGGACTTTGTCAAAAGCTTTGTTATAGTCTATGAAACAGACGTACATATCTTGGTTCACATCCAATCATCTCTGGATTATTACGTTGAATGCAAAGAGAGCTTCATGGGTACCTAGGCCATTACGGAATTCAAATTGAGTTTATAATAAAATATATATTATATATATATATATATATATATATATATATATATATATATATATATATATATATATATATATTATAATAAAATAGCTAAGGGACTATAACGCAAAAATTGTCAAAGAGCAATTTTTTTAGTCAACTATAGAATATGAGAGCTTGTATGAAAAGTAAAGTGATAACTGGTTGAGACTAATAAACTTTGCAAGCACCAAAAACATCATAGTAGGAGAAACAAAATTTCCTCATAAAATAATACACAAAAGAACATGAAAATAACATGACAATGAAACCGTTAACCAGATAGATCACATCCTAATAGATGCAAGACATTCTTCCGACCTCATGGATATCAGAAGTAATCGAGGTCCAAATATAGATAGTAACCACGTTCTTGTAAAAGCAAAAATTATGGACAGAAGAATTGTGGACAAAATATAGACACATAACTAAGAAGGTATCAGAAATATTGGGGAAAACCTAACCAGTTGGACAAAACGAATGGTTTAACGAAGAGTGCCAAGAAGCAACACATAACAAAAATAGAGCATACCTAAAGACAAATCAAGCTAGATGCACAAAAAGTGCAAAGGAGGAATACTCTACCCTAAGGAGGGAAGAAAAAAGATTACATAGAAGAAAAAAGTCAATTCAAAGCAAAGCAGTTATAAAAGATAGAATGGCTAAGAACTCAAAACAAAACATGAAAGTTCTGTGTCAAGAGAAGAGTACTATATCGATTAATGCGTGAGTTTAGTATACCAGAAAAACTTATCCGATTAACGATAATGACATGTCTAACTTAAAATCCAGCGTTAGATACTCAAGCAATTCGAGCGTAAGATACTCCGCAAAATATTTGGGGCTATAAAAGATCAAAGGCAGTGAAAAAAAATTTATTTCGAATTATATTAACTCTTTATTGAACCAGAACCACATAAATACAAATGCCTGACTACATGATTGCTAAAAAGCTAACGACAGGAACGCCTATATGAAGAAACAGTAAAGGCCGACGGCGAATTAGGTGGTTTAATGTTGTTGAAGACCGACTTAGGGATACTAGAGATCAGATTCCTTCTAATCAAAAACTTTATGGTAGGGAGGGATAATGTGATAATGTTTATCCCGCACTGGTGTATGTGACTTGTTTTATGGCTGCAAATAAACATGGTAATACCTGTCCTAAATATTACTAAATGGTATCGCGCCTTAGCTGTCTCTATTGCCTTAATATAAAAAAATACGCTAGCAAATAAAAAAATTAGTAGTCGCTTTTAGTAAATAACCATTAACTTGAGTAAAAATTAATACTTTATGTTTAACACTGGTATTAATAAAAACTTAATGTGACTTTAGGTTGTTGGAGAAATTCTTGTAGCTTGGAAGAAATATACTGCCAGCTCAGACGATGAAATTAATTTATTAGAAGGAGATGTTGTCGAACTTTTGGACATAAATGACCCGAATCCCTCAAAGTAAGTATAGGAGTACAAATATTTATTATATTCTATTTGTAAATAAATCTGCAATTGTTCATTTTTTTTACAAAATGTTTAAGAACTTGTCGAATGTTTAAAAGAAATTGTAATTAAGTTAAATAGGTTTTTAAGGCCTACAAAGAAGAAGACAATATGATTAGGTCAGCTGAAATATTTAAACAATATAAGTATCTTTATGTCTGTTATTTGCCAATGAAGTCACGTTCACTGCAAATCACAAAATTGTCGCTATTGCACAGTAGATAATCCGTATTGGTAATAAACTGTAAAAGCCAGTATTCTCAAAAAAAAAACAATGAGTGGTGTGGTTTTACTGAACTAGCGAATTATTGTTCTTTCTTCTTTGAGTATAACATAAAAAAGAAATATATTAAAAATCCTTTGTAAAAGGTATATATTAAGAACCCAAACGGGCTAAGTTAAAAAGACAAAACGTTTTCGGAATTCATACTCCATCATCAGTGTCTAAGAGTACATGAATGTAGCTACTATAGTTGCTCCCATACAGTCTTCGTAGACACACTGTCTCAAGACTAGCAACTTCAACGTGGAGTCATATGTCGCCATGTTACCTAATCCAACGGTAACTTTAACATCCTAAACCATTATAGGAAAATTTGTAAACTAATGTAATTAATTATTTGTTAACGGGTTTTTACCCATATATTTAGTGGCTACATTCATGTACTCTTAACACTGATGATGGAATATGGATTCCGAAAACGTTTGTCTTTTTAACTTAGCCCGTTTGGGTTCTTAATACATACCTTTTACAAAGGATTTTTAATAAATTTTTTAATATATGGTATACAGCCAACTACAGGAACGTAGATTCCTCGTGGATAAAAAAGAACTTTTTAGAATTGTTATTCCTCGTGACTTTTTGAATGCTTCATTAGTTTAATTAACAATTAAATTTATATATCCAGCTACACGGAAGATACTAAGAAGAATAATGGGCGCATTCTGTGAGAATGGTATTTGGAGAAGGCGATATAATTTCGAATTGTACGAGAAGTATAAAAAAATAGTAAATGGTAGAGATGTAATATCCTTCATAAAAATAGGTAGGCTTAGATGGGCTGGACATGTGTCAAGAGCAAATGAAAACTACCCACCCAGACGAACTCTATTATCGGTCCCAGTGGGAAATAGGAGTAGAGGCAGACCACGACTGAGATCGGACGGTGCGGACGAGGACGCAAGGAAAATCGGCGCGGCAAATTGGCAACGGTTGGCGAATGAACAGAAACGACTGGCGAAATAGATTGGGGAAGGTCAAGGCTCAACTAGAGCTGTAGCACCACTGATGATGATGATGATGATCCAGCTACATGGGTGTTCTATTTATTACGGTAACATTGTGAAGCAGGGGATTAGAGGTTAATACCGAAAAGACACAATACATGAATATAGGAGGCACCGGTCAAGACATGGAAACAGAAAGCGGATTAATTAAAAACGTTGATCAGTACGAATATCTCGGAGTTACACTAAGCGAAGACGGGAGAGACGACAAAGATCTTCTTCTTCTTCTTCAAGTGCCCTGTCCGTTGCGAACGTTGGCTATTAACATGGCAATTTTGATCTTGTTTGCGGCGCTTCTGAATAGTTCGACCGATGTGAGCCCGAACCACTTCCGCAGATTTTTGGAGCCGCGAGTGTCTTCTCCTGCCTGGCCCTCGCTTACTGTCTATTTTTCCCTGGACAATCAATTGTAGCAGACGGTACTTATCGTGTCTCAATATGTGGCCTAGATATTCAAGCTTTCTTTGTTAAATTGTATTCACGATTTCTTTCTCCTTTCCGATTCTTTGGAGTACCTCTATGTTGGTGACATGTTCGGTCCAGGATATACGAAGAATGCGTCGGTACACCCACATTTCGAATGCTTCTAGTTTTCTCGTTAGCGTCTCCGTCAGCGTCCAGGCCTCCACGCCATACAGCAAGATCGGAAAAATGTAGCATTTAACTAATACGTAGTTTTAGGGGAAGAGACAAATCCTTGCTTAAGGAGCTTTTTCATATTGCTAAATGCTGCTCTAGCTCGTTCTATTCTCGCCTTAATTTCTATGGTCTGTTCCCATTTTGCATTTACGTTGGTGCCAAGGTACACATAAGATTCTACATGGTCAATTAATATGTTACTTATCCGTAATTGTCGAGCAGTTGTTGTTGCTTTTTTGCTTATCAGCATCCACTTTGCCTTCTTGAAGTTGAGGCTCAGGCCGTATTCCTCACTAACTGAATAAAGTCTTTTCCATTACTTGTTGTAATTCGTCTATGGTACTGGCAAGGATCACCGTGTCGTCGGCGTATCTTATATTGTTCGTTAACTCGCCGTTTATTTTATGCCCTCATTGCATTTTCCATACATTTGTTAAATATTTCCTCGGAATACATAATGAATAGGAGTGGGGATAATATACACCCTGACGAACACCCCTTTTGATCTGCACGCTTTCAGTT